CTTTAAACAAACCTAATGCAACAGAGTGGAACCATGCTGACTCCATGTAAAAGGTTGTTTTTCTATCCAAACAATTCCCTGGGGGATTTCTTCAAGTAGCCAGCTCAAAGCTGTGAACTGAAATCACAATTCCATTTAGCATAAACATGCATAATACATGCAACTTCTCAGCATAGTATTCCACAGAACTATTGGGGCTTTAAAAATAGCCAGCAGATGTCTTTTGCTTGTGCAGCACGTGAAAAGAAAAGTGACTGACTTTTGCAAACCGCCTCCATATCTGAGTTGAGGACAATTTCACCACCCAGGGATGGGTTAACTAGATTTAATCTGTCCCACTGGCAAGCCTAGAAGGTCAGTTGAACAAGTAACTCAGCATTCCTAATACCAAACCACTAAACCAGCTAAAAGAGAATGCGGTTGACACATGCTAATGACCAAATCCAATTCACTTATCATGTGTACCATCAGGCTGGGACTCCTGCAAGCCATTCCCTTAAACCTTTTCTAATTAAAAATTGTTACAGCCAGGTGCCTGTAACAATAGGCTCACGCCTGTAATTCCAGCACTTTGGGAGGCCAAGGCAGGTGGATCACAAGGTCAGGAGTTCAAGGCCAGCCTGGCCAACATAGTGAAACCCCGTCTCTACTAAAAATACAAAAAAAAAAAAAAAAATTTAGCCAGGCATGGTGGCAGGTGCCTGTAGTCCCAGCTACTTGGGAGGCTGAGGCAGGAGAATCACTTGAACCCGGGAGGTGAAGATTGCAGTGAGCCAAGATCACGCCACTACACTCCAACCTGGGTAACACGGCAAGACTCTGCTTATTGGAAGATAATTAAGGAGGTAGAGCTCACAATACTTGGTTTTGATGGAATGTGGGAAAAGGTGAAGTTAAAGATGACCCCCAGATTTCTGGGTATCATTTACCAAGACTGAGGACAGTGAAGGAGGAGCAGACCCCAGGGGTTTCCCTTTTGCCTCCACCTACTTTTTCCATCGCTTAAATTTGTTCTTCCCTGGGGTTTTCTTTTTGCTATTCTTCCCCGAGACCCCGAGGTCTTTATTTGGTCTGTGTTTCTTTTTTGACACCCCAATCTCAAAGACTTCATCTACTCTCTCTCATGCACACACCCATCAACAGCCTGCCCAAGGTCTTAGATGGACATCACACTTAGCCTATCATCTTTCCCTCAAAACCTACTCTGCCTTACTTAACCTTCCACTTAAGAGAATCCAATCTGTTATCTACCTGTTCACTAAAGGCAGAGACCTGGAAGTCACCAGAGAGTGTATTCTCTCTCTTAGTCCCATATAGAATCAACCACCAAATCCAAGCTTTACACTTCATTGCACCTGTAATATCTGCCTCTGCTCCCACATGATCCATTATTGCTCACCTGAGTTGCTGAAATTTTCTCCTTGTGTGTTCTCTCTCTCCACTGTTGTTGACCTACCTCTGCCCCCACGTCCTTCCCCATACTACATCTAAAAGAGATATTCTAAAGCCCAAATCAAATCATGTCATTCCCTGTTCACCACTTTCCAATGGTTGTCGTGGTGGTCATTCAAGGCCTTCCATGCTCCACCCTGCCCACCTTTCCAACCTCATCTCCTGATGCTTGCTCAACATAGTTGGCATTCTTGTCACCTGCCAAAGTCGCCACTCTGAATAAAATTATGGACCAAATGGTCACCTCAGGCATGCATACTGCTTTTAGTTCATTGAGCCCTCAGGGAGTGAATTTGTCTACAAATTCAGGACTTTTTTTGAGTCCTTCACATAGTCACTGTTGAAAAGATGAAATTCTTCATCAGCAAGGCTTTGTGCAGTGGCTTTTCTATGAACAGTGTTCCCTAGATGCTCTGGGAAAGTTTACAGAATAAAAAATGATACAGTGTGTTTACTTTTGAGGGCCCAGAAAACACCTTTAACTTCTTATTTCCTATACTACCACCACTTTTTCTTGTAGCCAAGAAGTAGAAAGGGACATTGAATCTTGGAGTAGGAGCAACACTTATCCATACGGTGTTAAGTGGTTCCTGACAAACATTTGGAAACAACTATCATTATTGAGCACCTGCTGGCTTGTTTATTCCTCATCTCCATCCCAGGAGTTTGGGGTTATTATCCCATCTTATGGATAAGGAATAAAGGTTTCATTCATTTGATGACATCCATTAAAGGCAATTGTAGACTCCACAAGGTCAATAAGTGTTACGTATCTACGTCACTATTTCTGAAACATGGTACTCAAATAAGTGCATATTGGATGAGGAAACAAATGAATGAAGCAAATAGCTAGTGAATGAGCTGGTGTCAAAACCCAGGGTGATCTGATTTTGCTCTTGTCACCCAGGCTGGAGTGCAATGGAAAACCCAGCACAGAAGAACGTTCTGTTCAGGAGATGTCAACCAAGCTCCTCTTTGTCTCATCTCTCTGTGCTTTCCGTGTGTGGTTTGAAAAGACTAAGGGGGGAAATCTGACCAATCTCATGACAGTGCTAGGAAGAATATTTAGGAACTGTTAATGAAACTGTGTAAATATATAACACTAAAAAGCAAACTGTTTCTTTGTGAATGTGGAATATGCATGCTTTTTTGCAAATAAGGGGACATATGAGTGAAATACCTTTGCTTTATTTCACATTACTCTTATCATTCCAGGTCACCCTTACCAATTATGTGGTAATGGGAATAGAAGTGATTCTTATGTTACCTCCAGAGGGGTTGTTACCAGGTCACATAGATCCACATGTGTCTGATAGATTTACATTGAACACTCCTTGTGGGAAAAATTACATTTGCTAAAATGAGGTGAACTAGGTCCAGGTTTAGACATTACCTATTAAACAAAATCTATTACACTGTCAAGGACACTAAATTGTTTAATTCAATATTTTAAGTGTGAGAAGTTAATGTTAGTGGAAGAGTTAGGCACCTTTTACATTCATCACCCTAAAGACAAAGATATGAAAATGTCTACACCATTAGCTACATAATAGCTTCAAATGCTTTATCCCAGTAACCATAAATTGGCTAAATTATGAAACCACAATTAAGAATGATTATCCATGAAGTAGTCAGGTAGATGCAGAAACTCCAAGGAGTGCCTTGGTAATATATCAGCTCACAACCTAAGTCAGCCTGAATAGTGATGGGCTCACCAGTTTTATACCCCTCTAATAACGTTTCACAAACCATCAAGAAATAGTTTGTGACAATGAGAAAAGGAAAATTACAAGATGCTAATCCAAAACCTATGTCCATCTAAAACTAGAGGTGCAAAATACTCCAGAAATGATGTTTTCCTTGTAAATTAGCATGGATGATATGAAACTCCACTTATTTTCAAAGTCATTTGTTTACAAAACTACTTTGTAAGCCATATATATACATATATATATATATATATATTTTTTTTTTTTTTTGAGACGGAGTCTCGCTCTGTTGCTCAGGCTGGAGTGCAGTGGCGCGATCTCAGCTCACTGCAAGCTCCGCCTCCCGGGTTCACACCATTCTCCTGCCTCAGCCTCCTGAGTAGCTGGGGCTACAGGCACCCGCCACCACGCCCAGCTAGTTTTTTTGTATTTTTAGTAGAGACGGGGTTTCACCGTGTTAGCCAGGATGGTCTCGATCTTCTGACCTCGTGATCTGCCTGCCTCCCCTTCCCAAAGTGCTGGGATTACAGGCATGAGCCATCGCGCCCAGCCAAGCCCTAGATTTTAGAAAGATTTTGTATCTTTAGATTTTGATAAATAAGCCAGTATTTTTAAGTTGATTAAAGCTAGCTGATTTTAGAATATACGGTGGTTCTATTTTTTAATGTTTTGAGGAGCCTTTATACTGTTTTCCCCTATGGCTGTATCAATTAGTGCAATCCCACAGTTGAATAATCTCACTTATCCAAAGTAAATGAAATCAGTGTCTCCAAGAGATAGCTGTACCTTTGTGTTTGTCACAGAGCTATTCACAATAACCAAGATATGGGAACAACCTACATGTTCATCAGTGGATGAATGAATAAAGAAAATGTAGACACACACACATACACACACAGAGGAATTATTGAGCCATAAAAATGGCAGACATAAAAAATGTCTGCCATTTGAGATCGTGTAAATGAGCCTGGAGGACACTATGCTAAGTGAAATAAGCCAGGCACAGAAAGACAAATACTGTGTGATCTCACTCATCTGTGGAAACTAAAAATGTCATAGTCATAGAAACAGAGAATAGAATGGTGGTTGCCAGAAGCTGCAGGAACAGGAGACATGGGGAGATGTTGATCAAAGGGTACAAACTTTAAGTTATAAGATGATCTAAGGCACAGTGTGGGTAGCATGTTAATTAATTTGATTGTGATAATTGTTACACAGTACATACATATATTAAATCATCACTGTACACCTTAAATACATACAATCTTTGTCAATAATTGAATATTAAATAATTAATACTTTAAAATTAAAAATTAAATGAAAATAGATGCCGGGACAGTGGCTCACGCCTGTAATCCCAGCACGTTGGGAGGCCGAAGCAGGTTGATCACCTGAGATCAGGAGTTTGAGACCAGACTGGCCAACATGGCGAAACCCTGTCTTTACCAAAAATACAAAAATTAGCTGGGTGTGGTGGCGGGCACCTGTAATCCCAGCTACTTGGGAGGCAGAGACAGGACAATCACTTGAACCCTAGAGGTGGAGGTTGCAGTAAGCTGAGGTCATGCCACTGCACTCCAGCCTGGGTGACAAGAGCAAAATTCCGTCTCAAAAAAAAAAAAAAAAAAAAGAAAAAGAAAGAAATAAAAATAGAAGCCAGCTTACTCCTAGCATATTTCTTTGAATCATTATTTCCAAAGCTCTCCCTTTCAAGGTCTGTCACATTTATCCTTCTTTTTTCCATAACAATTACTCCATATCAAATCCAAATAGTGACCACTCAATAAATATTTGTTGAATGAATTAATAAATGAATGAACAAATGAACGAGCTACAGACCTCACATAGACCTCACAAGATACAAGCAGTTTTCCAACTTCCCAGTCTTTCTCGATTCTTGTCCATCCTGTAGCCTTGCCAAGTTAGTCCTGCCCCAAACGTCACTCTCCATGCATCCATGCACCAGCCTCTTACTCAAGAACTACCAACTCTAAAGTAATTGGTTTAACAGTGAGATCCTCCCTTACTTAGTTCCAGCTGACTGGACTTGGCCGTCTTTGCTTACATTGCTCCCCTTCCTGGGAATGAGCTGTCTGTTCAGTTTCTGAGATGGTGGGGCTTCCCAACATGTCAGAACACAAATACAGCCTAGGGCCACTCCCATTACACCAGGTTGTTCGTTCCAAAGGCCAACAGTGAGGCCCTGAAACAAACAGCAAGAAACATGCTGACATTTGATTAACACAGCTGCATTGAAGTGCTCTGAGATTTTGGTAGCAGTAAGTATTTATCCAAGTGCTTGTCAAACTTTAATAGGTGCAGGAATCACCTAAGAGTCTGAGATTCTGCATTTCTAGTAAACTCCCTGGAGATGGTAATGATACTGACCCATGGATCACACTCTGAGTACCAAGGCTCTAGAATAGGAGTTACTAGACTTGGCTGCACAATGGTATTATCTGAAGCATTAAAAATACTTGTGGCTGGGCTGGGTGTGGTGGCTTACACCTGTAATCCTAGCATTTTTGGAGGCCCAGGCAGGAGGATCCCTTGAGCCCACGAGTTTAAGACCTGCGTAACGTTGGGAGACGAGAGAGACAGAGAGAGAGAGAGAGAGAGAATAAATAAATAAATAAAAATACTAGTGACTGAAACCTATCCCAAAGATTGTGATCTAATTGGTCTGGAGTACAGCCTAGGCATCAACATTTTTAAAACTCTTTCAATAATTCTAGTGTGTAACCAACACTGAGAACCACTGCCCAAGACCAATGTTTCTCCATCTTTTTTTTTCATTATGTTTCCCTTTGGAGGCTTTTTAGACATTTTTATCCCTAAATGCCCTCCACAAAATTTTATCATTAAGGATATACTGTATATCCATGTGTTGTACACATACCTTTGATTTATACCAAAAAAATTATTTAAAAGATTTTGCTCTCCGAGAACCAGTTTCATCCTCTTGGGGGTGACATTGCTCCCATTGAGAACATATGCTTTAGGGTCTAAAGTTATATACATGGTCTAAAGTTTCGACTACGACTAAGGCCTGGTTTTGCCCAAGCATCCACATGTCAGTCTCCACACAAATCCCCTCCAGTGGAGGCAGCAGTTCTCAGCCCCAAAGAGGCAGGCTGAGAGAAACCACAGGAAGGTGGTCAGATCAATGCATCCGCAACCCCTGCATCCTAAGCCATGATTGGCTACAAGGCCTGAAATTCCTGTGTGCTTTCCAGGACCTCACTGGCGGCAGCCGCAAAGGACAGTGTATATCCCGCCCAATCCAAACAAGTAAACTACGGTGTTTGCCAGCCTATTCCTACTTGTGTTCACAGCCAAGCCTTTCTTTAGACTGCCCAATAGCAACATCTGCCTGGAGACAAATGGGTTCTCCATCACTGCCTAAAGCAAAATGTCTACAGGAGACATTTTAATGTATGTACTAATTCCTAACACTTGCTCAGGTTACACAGTAACTCGTATAAATTGTGGCAGTAGGGGTCACAGCTATGGGGCTAGGAAACAGCATTGCGGTCTAAAGGCAGAAGAAGCTGAACTCTAATCCAGGTGTAAAGTCCTGACTACGGGAAAGGCAGATGAAAATGTGGTAACAAAAGGGGAAAAAGATGGGTAAAGAGAAAGGGAAGGAGAAAGAAGTTAACATCGTTGCATGTCTGCTGTGGTGCAGAGGTGGTGTATGAGCACTCTTTTATCTAACCCAGGCTCCAGGAGCACAGGAAAGAGAGGTATTATTGTCCCCATTGCACACACAAAAGTCCTGAGATACTGAAACTGCCCCAGATCCACTCCTAGAAAGTGAGAGAGCCAGCATTTAAATTCTTGTCTTTCCAGCTCCAAAGCCATGCATGCTGCCCTCCCAACCTCATGAAAAAAAAACACACACACACAAATGAACCACCAATCACCAAAAGACGGTCTTCCAGAGATAAACCAGGAAGCTCAAGGTGACTTTACCATGACAGCAGGAACCCCGGCTCCTGCAGCAGCTCCAAAATATAAGTTAGGCTGAAATGGATATTTGAAATCAGCAAGAGGCCATCTGTACTCAAGACCTCCACACAGCATGGATTTAAGCAACTAAATCCAGGAAAGCATCAGAAGTTGTGAAGAAGGGTGAAGAAGTGAGGACTGAGGACTGGTCTGCATCTAACCTTAGTCAGAAAAATGGGGGCCCTGCATGGCCTGAGAACACAATGACACCAGAAACTGTGGAGGACAGAAAGGAGGCAGTGATGGTGCAGAGAATTCCAGGAAGTGGGCCAGGTACAGTGGCTCACGTCTGTAATCCCAACACTTTGGGAGGCGGAGGCGGGTGGATCACTAGATCAGGAGATTGAGACCAGCCTGGCCAACATGGTGAAACCCCGTCTCTACTAAAAATACAAAAATTAGCCGAGTGTGGTGGTGCATGCCTGTAATCCCAGCTACTCAGGAGGCTGAGGCAGGAGAATGGCTTGAACCCGGGAGTGGAGGATGCAGTGAGCTGAGATTGCGCCACTGCACTCCAGCCTGGCGACAGAGTGAGACTCTGTCTCAAAAAATAAAAATAAAAAAATAAAAACTCCAGGAAATGGAAAATGGAAAAATGAACAGCCCCAGAAGAAAGTAACTTACTTGCCTTGAGAAAATAGTGCCCCTGAGCCCACAGGTCCTCTGCTCCATGGGGGCCCTTCTGCCCTCAAGGTAGGGAGTAGGAGAAAGAGAACAAAATGCTGAGCAAACCCTAGGGATTCTCAAAATTAGATTCTTTTCTCAGGAAAAGAGGAAGAAAGATCTTCTCTACCCCCCACTCCAGACCTAATGCCTGACCTCACCAGAAAAGCCCCTTTCTCCCTCTCTCTGGGGCAAAACTAAAGCAGCCTCACATACTCCAGAATGAATGGAAGGAGGCCTAAGAAACTGAGAGTCCTCACGTGCACACAGGGACACAGAACCCACCATAAATATGATCATTCACATCCGCCTTTATCCAGGACAGGACCCGCTTCTTTTTCTTTGTCTAAACAGTGTAGCCTGAAACCCATCCAACGCCGTGACAGATCACCCCTGGGTGAATTACAGGGCTGTCCTACACATCTTTCAGAGGGGCTGCAGAGGAAATCTAAGACGTTAACCATTTGTCTTACCGTCACCAACTGCGCTACTAACTACAGTCTCCCCCAGCTCCCTGCAGGTCCAGAGTGAGGGAGACCACATCCTGTGGAAGCCCACAACATCAAGTTATTTCTCATAATATATGTTTGTGGGAAAAGGAAAAATTCCTGAACAATACATTGAAAGCCAAAGCCCCCTGAACCTTTCCTTTCATAACCACCTGCAGCTGGAAATCACCCAGGACATAAGAGCGGCTTCAGGTAGGGAAGAAACACTGGTATCCAACACCTCACTTTAAGGCTTAATGGATCTTACCGTGCCTAAAAGGTTAATGATGCTTTTCAGGGCCTACGGGAGACTCTGGCCATAAAGGAAAAATAAAAGATCCACTATGTAAAAGTTATCTCCCTCAAGGAATTCATTCAGATTATTGCAAAAGTATTTTTAAATTGCTGGAGAGACTAAGTGCAGATTTATCTCCAATGCCTCCCCAGGGTCAGGCATCTGGCACGTTTGGTGATTAGATTAAACCAGTCTGCAGGGCAGAGAGAAGAGAATTGTCTCTGTTTAAGGGATGAGGAAGAGAGTTCCTGTCCCATTCCTCGCTTTGCAACATTGATCATATTCCTACATTGATTTGGCTCCTCCAACTAACCAGTTGATTTCCACTCAACATGTTTGTTAAAATATTGAGCAAGAATTGGCAGCATTTGACAATGCTGGCCCTGGCAGAAGAATCCTCACATGATGTTGACAAGAGCAGTTCAAAGGGTTCTTCTGAACTGGCACCACAAAGGTTTGCATTCCCAGGAGTAGCGAAGCAGAGATCATTTGATTATTTGCTGAGTACTTACCCAAGCACAATTACACTCGATAGGCAGATGAATTCCAAGAGACAAACTACTTTGAGTCTCTCACTAAAGCCGAGAGAAACATATCTGCGCGTTTTGGCTAGAGATGATCTGCCAGTGGATAGCCATCTCTGTTTGGTGTAAGGAAAGCTGCACAGTCAGACCAACCTAGGGGCTTGCTCAGTGGGGAGCTGTGTGTCTCAGCCACAAAGATCAAGATCAACAATGTTCATGCAGGTCAAGATAGTAGCAAATACCTGGAGAAGTAACCCACTTCAAAATAAAGAAAGAGAGAAAGGGAGAGAAGAAGAAAGCAAGGGAAAGAGAAAGAAAGAGAAAAGGTAAGGGAGGAAGGAAAAAAAAAGAAATGAAGAAGAAAGAAGTTTAATACATTCTTACTAGTCTGAACTAGTGAACATTCCCCAAATTCGCCATTCTGCTAATTCACTGAGCAATTATGCAAATTCCCTGGATAGCTGTCAGACATTCTTCATCTCCTCTCCCTCTCATCCCCCATGGAAAAGCTAATTAAATTAACATTGCAGGCTAGCGTGTAGAAAGTGCTACCATATTTTGTAAAAGAGGTGGACATAAAAATATACAGTATTTGCTTATATTTTCATGGATATCGATGCAACCAAACTGGAAGTAAACACAAGTAACTGCAACAATGATTGCCCCTGGGTGAGGTACAAGGCAATTTGGGATGGGAAGGGGCCAGGTTGGAAGCAAGATTCTTCCTTGGGTATCTGTTACACATTTTGATATTTGAACCATGTGAATATGCTGCCTATCAAAAAAATTAAATAGGTAGAAATATAAAAAGCAAATTATTGGCCAGGCGCAGTGGCTCACACCTGTAATCCCAGCACTTTGGGAAGCCAAGGAATGTGGATCACTTGAGGTCAGGACTTCAAGACCAGCCTGGCCAACATGGTGAAACCCTATCTCTACTAAAATTACAAAACTTAACTGGGTATAGTGGTACAAGCCTGTAGTCCCAGCCACTGGAGAGGCTGAGGCAGGAGAATCACTTGAACCTGGGAGGCAGAGGTTG